TACTTACAGTATTGCCTCAGTATTCATCCATGTCTTGTATCCTTCTTAGGAATAGTCAGTGTCCCCTTTCTGAACATCCCTGTCCTGTGTCCTCCTTCATAGGAACAGTCAATGTCCCCTCCCTGCTCATCCTTGTCTTCATCCTCTTTAATAACATTTGCAGTATCCTCTCCGTGTTCATCCCTGGCCTAGGTCCTCCTTCACAGGAACATTCAGTGTCCCTTCCATGTTCATCTCTGTGCTGAGTCCACCTTTACAGGAACATTGTCTCCTCCCTGTTCATCCCTGTCCCATGTTCTTTTGTGAGACCATTCAGTGTCCCATCCCTGTACATCCTTGTCTTTGTCTTCCTTAACAGAACATTCATGGTGTCCCCTCACTTACCCTGTTCATGAGTCCTCCTTCATAGGAGATGGAGTAGTATACCTTCAGTAGAGGGTCAGGAATATTAGGAGCTACTGCTTACATTTTTATGGATTCTTGCCAATTTTACATCATGTTCTAGAGACTTTGACATTTCTGTATACATTTTTCTATGCTAGGCTATGAAGGTATGGCAAGGTGAAAAATGATAATTCTAGGTCCACATGAAATCAAAATACAATTATTTACCCTTACTTGTTTTAAAGTTTTTTTCCATAAGGTGTGTGTGCTCACCAGAGAGAGAGACAGACAGACAGACAGAGAGAGACAGAGACAGTGAGAGGGAAAAGGTACTTTCTCATCTTCTCTTTCTCTCAGTCTCTATCAGGTATACACAGCCTCTGGCAAATTACATATTTTTAAAAAGGCAGTGTTGGTGCAGGAATAAAGCACGAGGTATGCTACACACACACACACACACACACACACACACACACACACACACAAATCCCAAATGTAAATCTCAGAAGGTAAGTTCCATATAAAGGGCAAAAAAAACCTGAGAGACTCATAAGGCCAAACCAAGTCCGGAGCTGAAAAGAGCTCAGTGTGGCTCTCTTTCAACTGTTCCGAGGGTCTGAACACCCGACATGTTCCGGCCACCATGAACTTGCTGCCTACACTGCTGAAAAATGGGCACATAGAGATCACAACCCATGTACCAACCCAAGTGCAAGGTCATGAGTAGCTGGCAGGCAGTCCTGATCCCCAGTACTGTAACAGCAGGCAGGGGCCATAGGATAGCCATAGGTGTCACTGCCACAGCTAAGGATGATCAGGCAGCATCTCCATGGTGTAGGCAGGATTCTGTATCACCTCTGCTCCTATCTGCCCTGTCCTCCTGCATAGAAATACTTACAGTATTGCCTCAGTATTCATCCATGTCTTGTATCCTTCTTAGGAATAGTCAGTGTCCCCTTTCTGAACATCCCTGTCCTGTGTCCTCCTTCATAGGAACAGTCAATGTCCCCTCCCTGCTCATCCTTGTCTTCATCCTCTTTAATAACATTTGCAGTATCCTCTCCGTGTTCATCCCTGGCCTAGGTCCTCCTTCACAGGAACATTCAGTGTCCCTTCCATGTTCATCTCTGTGCTGAGTCCACCTTTACAGGAACATTGTCTCCTCCCTGTTCATCCCTGTCCCATGTTCTTTTGTGAGACCATTCAGTGTCCCATCCCTGTACATCCTTGTCTTTGTCTTCCTTAACAGAACATTCATGGTGTCCCCTCACTTACCCTGTTCATGAGTCCTCCTTCATAGGAGATGGAGTAGTATACCTTCAGTAGAGGGTCAGGAATATTAGGAGCTACTGCTTACATTTTTATGGATTCTTGCCAATTTTACATCATGTTCTAGAGACTTTGACATTTCTGTATACATTTTTCTATGCTAGGCTATGAAGGTATGGCAAGGTGAAAAATGATAATTCTAGGTCCACATGAAATCAAAATACAATTATTTACCCTTACTTGTTTTAAAGTTTTTTTCCATAAGGTGTGTGTGCTCACCAGAGAGAGAGACAGACAGACAGACAGAGAGAGACAGAGACAGTGAGAGGGAAAGTGAGAAATCACCAGCTATGCAGAGGGCCATGCAGCAACCCCTTCTCCATTCTCCCCTTGGGATTTTGGGCACACATGCACATGTGCCTGGCATGATTTTCAAGCTGCCATGTCCAGGACTTAAACCATAGTCAGCCATGTGGGAGTCCTGCATCTTAACTACTATGCTACCTGCTGGCCCCAAACCTTACCTGCTTTTAAAAATACTCTTTCTGAGACCAGCAGATGGCATAATGGTTATGTTGCTGGACTCCCATGTTGTTGACCATGGTTCAGTCTGGAGGGGGTGATCTCTCACTTTCTGTCTCTCTCAGTCTTTCTGGTGAGTACATGCATCCTAAAGCAAAAATCTCTCTAAATAAGTAAATAAAATACTCTTAGATGCCAATAAACCACCACTACTGTTCCCTATCAATTTAATTATTCTGAGAATAAGAAAAGTGCATTGAGAATAATACTCTAATGGTGCAATGCCTTTTCCCACACGCCTTCATGTCCCTGGCATCTGGAGTCAGGTTTCACCAAATGATGGAAAGGTGAACCTGAGGGCTCGAAGGCCAGAGAGTAATACAAGATTCCTCCATATGACTGCCATCTTGGCCCTCTACTATCCAGGGGACCATCAGATGCCTCTGTCCTGTATGTAGGTGCAGGTTAGCCCAGGTGTCCAGGCCGCAGTATGGATTCAAGTGGAACCCTCCCATGAGCAGGACAAGCAGATGCTGGCTGGCCACTGGAAGCAGAGTCCAGGAAGTCTCTAAGAGCATACTCTTGGGCTTAAGAACAGCTGCAAAGGCAGAGGCAGGTGTCTTTTTATTTCAGCTGCTCAGGACTGACCAGAGCTGATGTGGACAACAGGTAGGAGGCGAGATGGCAGCAAGTTACCCAAAAGTTGGCTGTTATCCTACCTGGCATTAGAAGTCCTCGGGGAGTGCATAACACTGCAGATTCTTACAGCCTGCCTGGGGAACAAGATGTTTATGCATGTAGCTATGTGTATACAGTCACATGCATGTGCATGTTCATAAAGCTATGTATATACATCCTTTTGCACATACATGTATACACACAGATATGTGTATATACATCCATATACATGTATATGTGTACATTCACATGTATTGTTTCAGTTCCTTGGAGGGACCAACATGTAGCTTTTGGTGAGAACTCCTTGCTCTTCATGGCTACCCTGAGAAGCCATGGCATTTGGATGCACCTGGCTTTTTGTACTCACCAGGTACCTGGGCACAAGCTGCCTTTCTATTCATCTTCCTCCAGAGTAACTCTTGAGCTCTGAAATGACACAGTGCAGCCTCCTCCTCCAGGTTTGATGTGAGTCTCCTTACATTGCTCTGTTGCCAGGTCTACAAGTGTACTTTGGATGTGGGCACTGGGTCCTCTCTACTTTCTCCCTAGCATTTAGGACAAGGGCAGGGACTCAGGGGCTTAGCACTCTAGAAGAGGCATAAGCTCTAAGAGCTTCATCTCATTGGTGTACCAAGAAAGGTTCAGGAACAACTGTTCACATGTCAGCATAGAATAAGAAGCCTTGCAAAGACAGGCCCGAGTTCTCCTTTGGAAGTTGCTAAGTATAAGCCAAATAAGACAAAAAAAGTGACATACAATTTATTGAATTAAAAAAGAGAGAGAGAGCATGAATGCTCCTCGTGAAGGTGACTCTAGAAGTATTACTTTCTGTCTATTTGGAAATCTCAGCTTCAACCAGGCTGACCACCCCTAAGCTGGTCCAAGGTGGTTTGAATAGTGGCCCCCAAGATTCACATGGAACCTCAGAATTGGAAATGCAGTTTTGGCAGGTGAAATTAGTGTATGATCTTGAGAGGAAATTCTGAATTAGGGTGGAACCTGAATCCAATGACTATGAGAGGGGCTGACTGGAGACATAGAAGAGGCCATGTGATGACAGAGGCAGGGGCTGCAGTGATGTGACCACAGGCCAGCTGACACAAACAGCCACTAAGAACTGGAAGAGGCAGGATGGATCTTCACCTAGAGCCTTTGGGGGGAGCATGGTCCTACAGACACCTTGATTTTGGATTTCTGGCCTCCAGACCTGGGAGATAATCAATTCCTATTGTGAGTCCCCCAGCAGCCCAGGAAACTAATGCTACACTCATTTGTTAGGTGAAGAATGCAAGTGAGAGCATAGGTGTGCAGCTCAGGGGCTGTGGGCCCTGTCCTGAGAAAGATGCAACACAAGTCAGACCCCTGTGCAGAGAAAGATGTTTCCAAGTGATAGCTCCCCCAGGACTGAACAAGCCATTCTGCACAAAAGTCTTCATAAAGTTATCTCAAAACAGTCTGAAAGTGGCTATTTAAGATCTGAACTGTAGCCTGTGGTAATGAAGAGGGGCTTTTTGGAATGCCCTCACCTCTTCCTCCATTCTCCTGTCTAGAGTTCTATGCATTCTTATCCCCTTCCAATGAATCCTTCCTAGGG